GCCTGTTGAATTCATCGTACGCTTCCTGTGCTGTCACGCCATACTGTTCCATGTAACACTCGATGGCCGAGCAATCGTCTTCTCTCCTGTGCTTGAACTTGTGTTCCGCGATGTCATCCATGAACCTGCAGATTATTGTGGAAGCTTGAGATTATTGTGGAAGCTTTGATGATCTTAGGGTCGATGGCCACCCATGTGAAGGTCTGTGGGGTTATAACATCTCCCATCCCCACGAAAGCCGTAATGGCAAGCATGGCATAGCCTGAGGTTGGCAATGCATTGTCCCTGAACTCCTCAAATGTGGGTTTGTAGTTTTCATGTGTCCATTTGGCTTCAAGAAGGTAAGCTTGAGCAACTCGTATCATCTGCATAACCATCAAAATCAAAAAATTAAGCACTTTCTATGTATATATCAAAACTAAATCGGGTGTTGATCATTGGATAATCATCTACGTACCACCTTTCTAGCATATTCGACACGGTATTGTCTCCCTTGCTCTTCCAGCAGTTGCTCCATTTCTTCGTAAACATCTAACAGTGCCTTATAGCTTATCTTCATGAAATCTGGGAGCCGATCCATGCATTTAATATCCCACTTGATACCAAATTACAAGGCTAAATGTCTAATATTCAATCATTGATCATATATACACTTGAAAATGGATGTTGATTTCACAAATCAAGAAATCTAACCTCTCAATGGCATCAATATAGGGAATGAGCTCATCATAGGTGCCATATGAATTATATGTATCATCCACAATAGATGCAATGGCTATTACTTTTGTCAACATCTTTCTACCAAGAGAGTACAGGGGCTCAAAGTACACTCCCATTATCCAGAAGTGACCTTCAACCATTCTATCTCTTGCAAATGGTAGCTTTCTGGTAAAGTCCAAATCCTTCCACCATCTATAGAATGAATACCCATTAACACATATAATCTTCATTTAGTAGAATAGAGTTTTGGATTTTTTAAAATTCTAAAACACTTACCTACAAATCTCACTTAGCTCTTTCCTGTGCAGAAGCTGCAACAAATTGAAATCTATCTTGGCAAACTCCAGCAATGCCTTATTATGTGATTCGATATTCTGGTACACAGAATGTATTGCCGAGCCTCGACCCTCGGCAAGCCTCTTCGGATCGACTGCTTTAAGGCATGATCAACCTGTTCCGACAATGGATAGTCTAAAGTTTGATAATGACATGCTACTGTTAATACAGATGTATATGCACATACCAAGAATGTATTTGATAATGACGTCGGGTACTGTTAATTTGAGCAGAGACATTCAACAAGTTCAGGGGTGAGCAAGGAAATTTGAAGTCATCCTTGACTACTGATGTACGAGGATTGTTGTAACTTTACGAAGCTTCCTATATGCGGATCCATGGGGAAGATGTATTGGATGAGGCAATTTCTTTCACCACCACTCACCTAACTCTTGCAGCACCAACTTTAGACTATCCATTGTCGGAACAGGTTGATCATGCCTTAAAGCAGTCGATCCGAAGAGGCCTGCCAAGGGTTGAGGCTCGGCAGTACATTTCTGTGTACCAGGATATCGAATCACATAATAAGTCATTGCTGGAGTTTGCAAAGATAGATTTCAATTTGTTGCAGGTTCTCATTGCTGGAGTTTGCAAAGATAGATTTCAATTTGTAGGAAAGTGTTTTGGAAATTAAAAAAAATCCAAAACTCTATTCTACTAAATGAAGATTATATGTGCTAATGTGTATGCATTCTATAGATGGTGGAAGGATTTGGACTTTACCAGAAAGCTACCATTTGCAAGAGATCGAGTGATTGAAGGCTACTTCTGGATAATGGGAGTTTACTTTGAGCCTCAGTACTCTCTTGGTAGAAAGATGTTGACAAAAGTAATAGCCATGGCATCTATTGTGGATGATACATATGATTCATATGCCACCTATGATGAGCTCATTCCCTATACTGATGCCATTGAGAGGTTAGATTTCTTGATTTGTGAAATCAACATTCATTTTCAAGTGTATATAGGATCAATGATTGAATACTAGACATTTAGCCTTGTAATTTGGTATCAGGTGGGATATTAGATGCATGGATCAGCTCCCAGATTTCATGAAGATAAGCTACAAGGCACTGTTAGATGTTTACGAAGAAATGGAGCAGCTGATGGCAGAACAAGGGAGACAATACCGTGTCGAATATGCTAGAAAGGCGGTATGTCGATGATTGTCCAATGATTAACACCCGATTTAGTTTTGATATATACATAGGAAGCGCATAATTGTTTGATTTTGATGGTTATGCAGTTGATACGACTTGCTCAAGCTTACCTTCTTGAAGCCAAATGAACACATGAAAACTACAAACCGACATTCGAGGAGTTCAGGGACAATGCATTGCCAACCTCAGGCTACGCCATGCTTGCCATTACGGCTTTCGTGGGGATGGGAGATGTTATAACCCCACAGACCTTCACATGGGCGGCCACCGACCCTAAGATCATCAAAGCTTCCACAATAACCTGCAGGTTCATGGATGACATCGCGGAACACAAGTTCAAGCACAGGAGAGAAGACGATTGCTCGGCCATCGAGTGTTACATGGAACAGTATGGCGTGACAGCACAAGAGGCGTACGACAAATTCAACAGGCATATAGAGAGTTCTTGGAAGGACGTTAATGAAGAGTTCCTTAAACCAAGGGAAATGCCAGTGGCAGTTCTGAATAGAAATCTGAACCTCGCAAGGGTTATGGATGTGCTTTACAGAGAAGGAGATGGATATACGCATGTTGGCAAAGCTGCTAAAGGTGGGATCACTTCCTTGCTCATCGAGCTTGTCCCACTGTGAAAATTTTACAGGTCAAACTAAAATATTCGAAATTATTAAAAAAAAAACACACACAAGATTACTTGTATTAAAATTTCAGACAATAAATTATCGATTCTGTCATTTAAAGATTTCTATTAACCCATTAAAAATGAGAGAAATGAAAAATTAGAAAATTAAAATTGAAGAAAAAAAGCAATTTCATGTACAAAACAAAACTAAATTCCCCCTTAGGTCAACCTTTTTTATATGAAAAAAAAAGTCTAACACCTTAAGTTTACTCCTTTTCCTATGAAATGAATAACCTCGTAAGTAAAAATTTGGATAGGTTACGTGTTTAGTATCTGAACTATTAGTTTTGGCCAGTTTCAATGTCTAAATTTTAAATTTTTTAAAGCATACCTAACATTTAGTTTTTATTTCATTTTAGTGTTTTGTTGTTAAAATATTAATCACGTTGTATTTTTATGGGTAAATTACATCATTCATAATTCATCATTCAACTATCTTCTCACTCCTATTTTGGTATTAAAGTTTAAAACTTTTCAATTTAACTACTCAACTTTCAAATTACTCCTATTTTAATCTCTCTAATTTATTTTATTAATAATTTTTGAGGCATGGCATTTATTAGTATTATTATTTTACTAATATATAATTAAAAATTAAAAAATTGAAATTAGAGTGATTAAATTAAGAGTAATTTGAAAGTTACATAATTAAATTAAAAAAAATTAAGCTTTAATGACCAAAATAGGAGTGAGAAGATAGTTGAGTGATGAATGATGTAATTTACCCATAAAAAGGTGTCATATGCAAATCACCTTTAAGCTTTTAACATTGAGATATTAAAAGAACTAAACGTTAATTATAGTTTTTTTTAAAAAAATTAAAAGTTTAAATATTAAAATGGATCAAAATTGATGGTTTAGATATTAAATACGTAATTACCCCAAACATTTTCAGATAAGTCACACTACATTCTGAATCTCGTTATTGTATAATGTTCACCTGAATAACAAGTGTTATACTATTCATCAAACTCAAATAAAAAAATGTCTCACCCTACCAACAACCAATTAGTCTAATAGGATGAGGTAGTAGATTTTTTTAACCAAAGTAAGGTGTTCGAATCTTGGCGTTTGCGTATGAAGCAAATTGGATTGGGAGGGTCGCCCTCATAATGAGCCTATGCAAAACTCAATCTGGATTAGTCAGTTAATAGATTGAATATCAATGATTAATTCAAAAAATTGTTTTGCCCTAAAACCATCCATAAAATGCAATAACAAATAATTCATATGATCCAATAAAATTGAATAGTAAACCCTAAAATAAACAAATTAAACTTATGATATCACACATCAATATATCTTTGTATCTCAAATACCAAAAAATCTTTACCGATAGACTCATTTATCAAAGTCAAGTGTCGAGTTCGACTCATCGTGTATACAGAAAATTCTCACTTGAATAACTCACCTTTCAGAGTCTGATGTACGACCCGGGTTAGTCATGACAAAACTTTAAAAACAGAAAGGACAAAAAAAATCTATAAAAACTAAATTATTTTTTTATATAATTACATAAAATTAAAATTTACATCACATTCTATATAAAATGAAATCTAATTCGAAAACATGTTAACGGATTGTAGTTGGAAAAATCTTTTGTTTCAAAATACAGCAAAACTGTTTTAGAAGCTCAAATGAAACCCGACAACTATCACCATCTCTAGAGATATGAAAAGGACTTTCTACTTTGAACCTCAAATGTCAATTTTATCACATCATCACCACCAATAATATTTCCTCCAACTAGCTTTATATATTTTCAGTTCAATTGAATTTCAAGTTAAATAAAATAAATTCAACTTGCATCACCTCAAAGTAGGAATAAATATAGTTGGAATGGGATAAATTTACAAAATTTTTAAAAAATTGGACTTGTAAAATTATATTAATATAAAATCAACATTCCCTTAATTCATCTCCTTCGAGAGAACTTTAGCTCTAATCCCAACCCTCCAAATGACCAGTACTTCCATTTTCATGTGCCGCACCCACCGAATCAATGAATAGATAACTCTCCACGTGTCAGCCGCAGCACGTCACACACCATCTCTGCCTACACAAATCATATTACGGCCTACCCTATATATGTAGACTACGTTAAAACAAAAGCATCGTCAAAAGTAAACCAAAACTAGAGAGCAGACCCTAGTCCAGTTATGGCTAACCGGCCGAGAGAATCAGATCCCAGCAGCCACGGTTCATCGTTAGCTTCACCTCTTCTGGTTCCATCCAAAGAGGAATCCGGGCTCGGATCCGAACCCAAGAAGCTTTGCATAGACGATATGTTGCAGGCCTACTGCGGCGAGTTCGGGCACTGGCAACGGAAACATTTCGTGTTAACGAGCCTGGCGTGGGCCTTGGAAGCTTTCCATACCATGGTGATGATATTTGCCGACCGGGAACCTGGCTGGCGTGCGTGGGAGGTTCGGAGTCGGGGTGTAACGAGAAGGTGGCCAGTGTTTGTGGGCTGGAACCAGGTTCGTGGGAATGGGAAGGCGGCTCGGGAAGCTCAACGGTGGCTCAGTGGGGGCTGGTCTGTGGGGAGAAGTATAAGGTCGGGCTTGTCCAGGCCTTGTTTTTTGGCGGCTGCATGATTGGTGAGTTCTTTCATCCTTATCTTGCTGTCGTTTTTCGACAACGTTTTTCATTGAATGGTATTGAATTTACCTTAATTTGTTAAACTTGAAAGGGAAAACTTTGCTGTCCTGGGAACAGCGCATGGTTGCAGTTAATGCGTATGTGGACCTCAAATTCCCAGGGAAAAAAAGTAGCAAAAACACACAGAATATGCTAAACGAATCAAGCCCTGCAAATATATTTAAGTTACATCATTAATTTAACCCAAGTTTCAGTAGACATTCAAACGAAGTTCATGGCATATCAGAAGAGACGAGAAATGTATTTAAGCAAGCGGCGGTGATAACTTAATTAATGCATTTGATATTATTATATAAGCATATAGCAGGCAAAGAATCAATTGTCTTTTTAATGGACCATATTTTTTATTTGCCACTTCAATCTTCTCCAATCAAGTCGTAAGACTTGCAAATCTGACCCACATGTAGGATAGAGGAAACTGGTATATTTAAAACGTATGATTGAGTATTGGTCACAACCTAGCTTAATTTAATACAAAAATGGACAAAGCAGCTGTCTTGGAGTTGGATCAACTCAGTTACTAAATAATTGGAATCGAATCAAATGAGTAGGTGCGAAATGAAATCAACCACGTCTCTAAGAAGGGTGCTTCTTATCTTAAGGAAAGAATATCCGGTTACTTTTTGTGTTTTCTTCGTCTTTTGCTATCAAGTGACAAACGGACCCAATTGATCTTTGTTTCTTTGTTTAATTTGTTTTTTGTTGTCGTTTACTGATACGCAATGAATATGCCGGAAAATTATCTGTTGTGTAGCTTCTGGTGATTAAATCCATGGCTGAAGTTCGATTTTTGATCGACCGTTTTCAGGTGCTGGTGTATTTGGTCATCTATCAGACTCCAAACTGGGAAGAAAAGGTTCCTTAACAGCAGTTTGCATCTTAAATGCTATTTGGTTGCCTTACATCGTTAGCCCCGGACTACGTTACGTATCTCCTGCTCCGGTTCTTAACGGGATTCAGCACCGGAGGCGTTGGCCTATGTGCCTTTGTCCTTGCCACCGAACCCGTCGGTCCATCGAGACGCGGCATTGCTGGAATGTCGACGTTCTATCTCTTTTCGGGAGGAATCGCATTACTCTCCGGCATAGCTTACGTTTTCCCTACATGGCGTGCTCTTTATGTTGCATCCTCTGTTCCATCTATCTTGTTCCTTGTCCTGGTGATTCCCTTCATCTCCGAGTCCCCTCGGTGGTATCTCGTTCGCGGGAGAACGAACGAAGCAATGAAAATCATGCGTACCATAGCCAAGTCCAATGGACATCACCTCCCTGATGGGGTCACCTTGCCCTGGATGATGAAGCTAATGATGCTTCAAGTGGGAATCAGAGTTGGAAATCAGCAGCAGTAGAAAAAGAAGCAATCAGTGGTTCCGTTATAGACGTGATCCGGTCACCGGTCACTCGCATTCGACTCTTCCTAGCAGTGGGAATCAATTTCACATGCTCTGTTGTGTACTACGGCCTTAGCTTAAACGTCGTCAACCTCGGGACGAACCTTTACCTCACCGTCCTCGTCAATGCCGTTGCCGAAATGCCAGCATTCGCCATAACAGCGGTTCTACTCGACAGATTCGGAAGGAAGCCATTGGCGATCGGAACACAATGGTTTAGTGCAATGTTCTGCTTCATGGGGAGCATGATGGGGGGTGTAGGAATATGGAAAGTAACAAGAGTGTGTTGTGGTATACTCGGGATATTCGGCATGGCGGGTACATACAATTTGTTGTTCATCTACACGGCCGAGCTCTTCCCTACGGTGGTGAGAAACGTGGCACTCGGATGTGCAACCCAGGCAGCACAAATGGGAGCTATATTGGCACCGTTTGTGGTGGTTTTGGGCGGCGGTTTTCCATTCATGGTGTTCGGGGTGTGTGGATTGATTGGAGGAATGCTTGCATATTACTTGCCGGAGACACTAAACAAGCCGTTGTATGACACAATGACAGGATTGGAAGAGGGGGAACTTGCTTGAAACTTGAAATTTGAAACACCTTTTGTCAAATTTCGTCGTATGGCAGCTTCATTTCAACATCGGGACATTTAAAGATGACAAAAGGGGATTTTTCTCTGCAACAGAAATGGAGAAAGAGCGAGTAACTGGCAGAAGCATAACCAGAATTGGAGGCCAAAGTACTTTAATATGTGGTTTAAGATCGTTGATGTAAGAGAAATCAAAGTCCTAAGTTGAACAAAGGTTTGATGGAAAAAAGATAATGAATAATTTGATCTTTCCCTGTTGCAGAATTTGAATCAAGCGCAAAATGATAATTAATACTCATATATAAATAATGCTAGAGCAGTCGTATCTCAGTTGGTAGAGTACAAGGTTCTTAACCTTGTAGTCGTAGGATTGAGTCTCATTGAGGGCAATTCATAACGGAGGTCTTCCACGGAAGCTGCTCTCAACCTGACGTTGGGGCAGCCTATTACCCTACCTCCCCTATCCCATTATATATGAGAATAGGGTCAGTTAAATATTCTACGCATGGAGAGATGACCGCAAAATCTTATATTAGAGGGAACATACTTGAACTTATAAAATTTTAAGGAGCCGAAAACATATTTGTGGGTATATATATATAATGTACAATGTTATTATAAAGTAAAACACAAAATTAAGTGACCAATTATATTATATTAAAATGTATATACCATAAGTTTATTTATAAATTGATGAGAGACAGAATTATAAATACTTAAAAGATTGATTTAATATTCAATTTATATAAAGAGGTAGTGGTCTCCCAAGAAACATGTTAACTTGTATTATTCTTATCCCCTTCAGATAGTTATTACGGTAAGAACAAACATATCTTCTTGGAAGATCACAATAAAAAAATGATTCAAATATTTTAACCTATCAATTAATTCAGGTACATTTCCGTAAATTCAATATTTTATTCTTAATAATTTGATATGATTAGATCTTTGTTATTTTTTATATTTATTTTAATTTTAACTCTAAGAAAAAATATAAAAAATTTAAATTATATAATAATTTTATATTTTTAAGGGCGACCGCGCTCATCCATCCTCGCCCAGGATGAACCTAGATCCATCCCTGCAGTTCTACTCAACTTCTCAAAATGAGATGAAAAATCCGCATGTGCTTTAAATAAGTATTGAAAGACATGTATACGAATCAAGTGAGATAAATAATTAAAATAATAATTATTATAGGTTTAGATAGGACGTCGTATATAAAAATGTTTATGATTTTCTTGTTAAATAGTTGAAAATCTATAAAATAAATATAATTTTATAATTACTTCAAATCAATAAAAAACTATTTAAAGATATAAAATTAAAAAAAAGAATTTAATAATTCGGAGTTTATATGAGATGAAAATTAATTTTAAGATTAAAAAAATCAAAATAAGAACAAGTTTTTGCTCCGTCGTAACAAGTTAAGGTATTCTTTTTTTCATAATATCTGGTCTAATTTCACATTTAATCATATGATGTGGTATATTTAACTGTCTGAAATTAATTTTATATTTTTTATGGCATAAGTATATATAAACAGAGATAAGTGTATGATTTATGTTAAGAGATAAATTTTTAAAATTTTAAAGAAAATCGAACTATTAAAATTTTATAAACGAAAATAAATTATCAATAAAAATATTAAAATATATCGTAATTTAAATTTTTTAAAAAACAATTCCTTGACCGCCCTCTCGATTCATATTTATATATAAAAATACAAAATTGTGGATAACAATTGATAAACAACGTGGAAATGCGAGAGATAAGTGCGAAAATATCATCCATAATAGTCAATAAAATTTGTCGGTTGAAGTATATTTATGTACAAACAAAGGCGGCTAATTGAAAAAAATTATTTTTATATATAATTAAAGAGAGTGTTTTTGTTCTATTAGAGTAATTCTTCCAAATAATAGTGACTGGCGATTTGAAATTGTGAGGACAAAGAATATGAAAAGGACTTGATTTAAATTAATTATGTTCGGACCAAGTTCATATTTTAGTGAATTATTAAAGAGTTTGGTTCAAATGGTAAGTATTTTGATATCGTTTAAATAATGTATCGAGTTCGAATCTTTGTGTATGTAGAAAATCTCTGTTAGGAGACTCACCCACCAAAGTCAGTTGTACGACGCGAGTCGACTCGAATTAGTCAAAATAAAACCTTAGAACCGGGAGAGCAACCGAAAAAGAAAAATAAATCAAACAACCAAATTTGAGAAAATTTGTTCTAGTTTTCGCCCTTTTAATATGATTTAGTAATTATATTTTTGGGTAAACTATAATTATTTTTATTCCATTTTCTTTTGATTTTGGCCACTTAACTTTATATTATTACGATTTTATCATGTATATTATTTACCAATACTAATTTGATCACTTATACGTTGACACTTGACAAGCATATGAATTTCCTTCGTGTTATCTCAACGAGTCCATTTGGCCTTGATGTCACCCTAGTTTGATAATAATTATATTTTAATTTTATATAATATGATCATTTTAATTTCATAATATCATTTAGTTGGCTAAAATAATATTTAATAAAACTATATATATATATATATATATATATATATATATATATATATATATATATATATATGTGTGTGTGTCTATTTTTAAAGATTTTTTCTTTTTATCTTTTTTTAACTGTCATTAGTCTTTTTTCTTCTACGGTATCAACCTTGATGCTGATCGTTGACTGTCAGTATTCATTTTGTTTTCCTTTGCTTTATTAAATATTATCTTTAATTTTCTCTCTCTTTTATTTTTAATAATTCTATATTTATAGTATGTATTCTTATGCCTTTATGACATATTTTCTATGTCTTTATGACACATTTTCGATCGTTTGACCTTTATTTTGATTTATTATTATCTTTAAGTTTGGATTTGATATCATCAGATTGATCAAGATTGTGTTTTTTTGTTATTCTACAAATCTTCCCTACCTTGGACTCTCAGATTAGATTTTGTTAGGGGATTTGCGTGGATAATATTTTTTCACGTTACTCCATTCTGATTTGCAATTTGTCTGTAGTCTTTCAATAGTTTCATTCCTTTTTGTGGTTCGTTTACCGATGTAGTAAGATCTATTCGTACCTACATTTTATCCGAGTTTATTTGATTAGATTTTTTAACATTTTCTTTGTATGGTCCTCGTGATATAAAATAACTAGTTTTCTTGTGTTTAAGAAAATATATTTATTATGTGTTTAGTTTACGGTTGTGATTGTAAATTTTTATTATAATTTGAATATTTTCTATTTTTGATAAAAGTAGTTGTTTCTATCAATATAAAGCTAAATATTTCAGTTACAATGTAATTACTAAATTGTATACTTTTTTTAATAGAGTTCTTAAATTTTATTCTTAAAAACAATTTTTTTAACTTTGTTTAACTCACATGTGCTCTTTTTCTTGCTCATGTTAAGAGTTTGCTTAATTTAGTGGGAAAAATTAAAGAAAAATGATAGAAATGAAAAGATTAAATATGCCAACTAAGGATAGCAATGGATCCTAAACCCGACCTAAATTTGTAGATCCAGATTTGTTTTATAGGATTTCGGTCTTAAAATTTTGGATTCGGCGGATCTGGATCCTCTTATTAAAGTACGAATTTGAGTCTTGATCTGACACTAAGATACCGAGTCTAGACCCGTTTACCCATTTATAGAAAAGTCTACTTTTGATTTTATAGGATGTTGATGATTTAAGTAGTGATGAAGAGTAACACTCTTAGGGGTAGAAGTGCGGTACTCGACTTGTAAAAATAGAATGTTTCTTAATCTACATTTTTTAATGTTTGTGTTATTTAAAAGACATTTGTGTAATCGTGTTGAGTTTTTTTTAGATTTTAGTTTATCGTTTTTTATTATGTTATTAGCTGTATTGAAAATAATCTTTCTTCCATTGGAGATATATTGTGAAATTAGTCAATATCAATTTTATTACGTTAAAAAATAGATCAAATGATCGTTTATTTAACATACCCGTTTTAGATCTGTTTGGACCCAGATCCGTGAGATCCTTTGGATATGGATATGGTCCCCAATTTTCTAGACTCGTGAATCCAAGGCAGATCTGGATCTAATATGTGAAAATGGGTACGATTCTGGGTCCAGCTGAATCCAATCCAAATCCGACCCATTATCATCCCTAATGCCAAACAGGACTTAACAAATTGCTTTGCATATTAATAACGAGAGTTACACATATTCGAATTCTGTACACTTTGAAAGATTTTCAAAACATGAAAGGTGTCGGGGAAAACGTGGGAAGGAACACTGGCACTGATTTTCGCCTGCAATTTTTCATCAACAACTCTTTAGTTCAACTTACGACTATAATTTACTTAGTTTCAGGTGTCAAAATGATAATAAAATATAACTTCGGGGATCGAAATATCATTTAATTTGTTTTAAGTAATAAAATGAATTTTAAACTTAATCTTTATTTAATTTTTACTTTCTCTATCACCATTTATTAAAATAAAAGAAAAAAAGTCAATTTCTCACTCAAAACATCTCCCCTACGTTGACATATCAACTATACAAGCAAATGAGTTACTTTTACTATTCTTTACCACATTTTTTTAGAAAATAAAATGTTTATAATTACTAAAATTATAAAAAAAAAAAAAGTAAAATGAAATTACCCGGTGTCGTTGCTATAGGTTCGTGCACGAACGTTAGAAAGTGACCCCGGTGAGTTCTTCCTGTTCACCACCGTCGGCGTTCTCGTCGGAATTTTCAACAGTGTTTTCTCTCCGTTCTCCGCCACGACGCTATCCTCCGTTATCGAACACAACGAGGGCTTCCACTGTGGATTCATAGATCCTACCCTCTCCCTATTCATCTTTGTCCTCGACGCTGCTGCCTTATCGGCAGGCATCAAGGACTTTGTCTCCTCCTCCTCCTCCTCCCCCCTCGTGGGTGTCGCCGCCATCGACACCGCCTCCTCGGTCATCGCCACTTCACGCATCGTCGGACGCCAACACGACACACAGTCCATGAAAAATCTCATGACAAAAGAACTGTGTATGTGGAAATAAGTGGAGGAAACAAAGAGAAGAAGCAGGGTGTAACTTACAGGCACCCAATTAATTGAAAAAGAAACGGAGTTGAGTTTAAATATTAATAACCACATACTGTTTATTCATTGAAATGGATATCTAAATATTAATTTTAAAAATATTAATTTTTAAAATTAATGGCAGAGATTTAAATCACGGTCACGGTCGTGTTTTCGGTCATTTTAGATTTATAGTGATTGTGACCGTCGCAAGCTCTATTACGGCCGTCACGGGCGCTATTGGACGCTATTGTGGATGTAGCGGGTAACTCGGACGGCGACAAAACCACTATATTGTGGACAAAATCACGATCGCATAATATTTTTTAAAACCCTGATTAATGATAAAAAACTCTTTCTAATAATTATTTAAATCTCATCAAAAGGTTTTATTTGTCCAGAAAAAGGGGGGAAAAGAATAGTTAAAAAAGGGACAGGTTTGGACTTATATGAACAAAAGCATTGGCAGTGGTTTGGTGTTTACTATGGGGAAATGCCAAGAAGTTTATATATCAAATAATCAAATTTTAAATAAAAAAAATCTAGTACTTAATCTTTTGATATTTACTTTAAAATTTACCAAATATTATTTTGATTTTTATTATATATTTGGTAGGTGAAGATTTTTATGAGGGATGTTTAGATTTTAATAACTAAAACACTTAATTCACGTGATTAATAAATTAAGCCCATGTTGTAAGCCCTAGTTCAAATCCTATCATCGTTACTTTTGATGGATAATCTGTAAATTTCTATGTAAATCGTAATTGAGTCTTAGGTATACCCTGAACTTGGACTTGGACTTGGACTTGGAGAGTCAACCTAAACTTTTATGTATCAAAAAGAAAATAAATAAATAAATTAAGCCCATGTTGAATTAGTTTATAGGGATCACAAAACAAAACAAATATTTTATTCTTACTAAAGGAGTGCAACAAAGACTTCAATTAAATTAATGAAGAGTTTTTGATGCATTGAATGTGTAATGATGATCATAGCATTTTTGATTAATTATTTAATATAATTTTTATATTAGGTTGCCTTTATGTTTGTATCCGCAGGTTATAATAATAATAAGGGTAAACTAAATATTTAGAATTCAATATAAAATTCTATTAAGAAGCTGAATCTGTTTGGGGTACGTGGTGCACAATTTTTGGAGGATGAGAGCACAAAGATTTTTGCTAGGAAAGTAACTGATCCTTATAGTTCATGAACAAATCCAACTTTGGAAGAACGAGAAGCGAGTCCGATCATTCACTTAAAGAAGATGAATAATTGGGTATGTTGTCGAATCACATGAGCTGCATTCTAAACTTATAATATATTTGCTGAGTCATTTTTCCGTTTATTTTGTTCTCGGTTGGACAGAGTAAAAGTGTCTTGATTCAGCCTTATGCTCGCAGGGGTGATGCTGTTCTTGATCTTGCTTGCGGCAAGGTATTTTGGACCCTTATTTTTCTTTCCAAATTCAATGTATTTTAGACGTTGTGTTATGGTTTGTTTTTATGTGTTTTAGGGTGGGATAAAGCAAAAGTTGACTATTATGTTGGCATTGATATAGCTGAAGGCTCGGTAAAGTGCTAAAATTCTCAGCTTTCGTTTTCTTATTTTTCTTTACATGTTTATCAGATTAGCAGCTCAGTTAAGTCGTGGGCAATCTATCTGTTGTCTAGGCCTCTTTGAGTACATACCATGATTATTCGAAGCTATTAATTTCTTTAAGCAGTTGCATTTGCAGCAGCAACACGTTGAATTTGTTTTCAAGTAGACACATGTGAATTAATCCTTGGATTTGTTGAACGGTTTGTTCTACCATTGACTTCTTGAAATAACTATCAAAATACAACCTTTTGAAACATGAGTCTTGTGCAGTAGTGCATGGGTGTGTAGATATTCTCTAACTTAAAACACGGATAAATTGTGCGCCTCTAAGGCCTTTAATAGCCTGCAGTCAAGTTGTCTATCCAAACACATTTCATTCCCATGCTCATCCAAACCCCAAAGGAAATTAGAAAGTAGAAAACAGCTGCAGGAAAAAGTAATCCTTTCTGTGGTATATGCTTGTGTCACCAATTGCAATATTGATTTTGCATTCTCCATTTATGCACACAGATTGAAGATTGTCGTACACGATGTAATGGTGATGCAGACCATCATCAACGTCGCAAAAAGTTCACTTTTCCTGCCCTTCTCATGTGTGGTGATTGTTTTGAGGTAATGAGATTGTTGATAACCTTTTTATATCTTACCAGTGAAAAAATGTCTTTTGGTTAATTGGACCTTGGCACCAACTTATTAACCAAGGATGTACATGGTTTAGCAGGCATTGCAAGATATTTTTCTAATTTTTATGAGTTGATGATTTTCAGGTGCGCCTCGATAGAGTTTTGGCAAATGATGGTCCTTTTGGTATCTGCAGTTTCCAGGTGACTGATGTGCCGTTTATGTTCTTTTCAATAGTTGGAATTTGCAAAATCTACTGTTACATCTATTCTGCTTCCATATGATTAAGTTACCACAAAAGTTTATCGAGATATTCTGAAGCTATTTAACAATTTGTTACCTTAGTTGAAACCATAATCGTGGCTGTTACAAGAAACTCTTGGATTTTGCAGTTTGCCATGCATTATTCCTGGTCTACAGAAGCACGTGCACGTCGGGTACTGACAAATGTATCATCTTTACTTCGTCCTGGAGGCACCTTCATCGGCACAATGCCGATGCCAATGTGATAATCAAAAAGCTTAGAGAAGGTTTACTATTGCAACGTGCCTTGTAGTTCTTGTCTTTAGAAAATGTTATAGAAAGTTGTTTCTCTACAAATAACTCGATTAAATTTTATGCAAAATTGATAGTTAAGTAAAGCAATAACTGAAACTTATGGTTAAGAAGTGTCCCATGTATAACTACACGGTTAATAGAATAAATAGGAAATTTGGTTTCCACAAATATGTAGGTGCCTAAATCATCATTCAATTTATGGTTTCTTTAGATCAATTAGCAAAGCAAGAACATAGTTTTAGGTTATCTAGTCATCATTAGCTATTTCCATTCTGGAGTATGTTACTATTATAGTGTAAAGCTTTCTTCTGTTTCTTGTCGTTTCATCCCTGGCATATTTGAGCATTAGGATTGTTGGGCTTGACAGACTGAATTCTTCATTCTTGATTTGGGATGCTATTTTCCCTGTAACTATGCAGCTGAAGGAATGACTTTTGGCAACAGTGTCTAATGGATACGATTTGATGATGAATTTTCCGACAAGGTGAATGACATTTGCCTTGCAACTACATTTACAGAAAGATATTGATGTTCAATCCTGTTCTGACACTCTTTTACGACATGGTTCAGAAATTTAAATCTTCAAGTCCCTTCCATCTCTTCAAGTCATTAGCAGAAGAGGTATAATGCTTGATCATGCCAAACCCCTTTTCTAGAAAATGGAGGTTTCTAGCCATATAAATACTATTCTAATCTAACCTCTGTTTAATCGGAACAGTTCCATTGAGTTTTTTTTTTTGGTTTATTAAGTACTATAAATTAGTTATGGTCATGCCTTCTGTATTGGTCTTGCAGTGTGATCTAGAGCTAGGTTTTGTCAAATATTCGCACGAATTTGTGCACGAGTACATGAAAAAGGGGAATATATAGAGCTAGTTTTCTAGGTCTACAGATTCTTGTTGTAACATTGCTTGATTTGCACGAAACCTTTACACACAACTAATTTGTAACTTTGGAACTGAAAATTTGTGCTAAAAGTGCAAAGACTGTGATAATGCCAGAAAACTAAAGGCAAATAAATAAATAAATAAATGCTTCATGTATCCTACATCTTGTGTGTGGGACCATTTTATTGGTAACACACTTTTCCCGCGTAAAATAAAGTACTTTCATTAAGCAAAGATTAAAATAATGATTTCATTAATAATTTAAGTAAACTTTTATTATAATATCTTTGGGTTGGATAAAAACTAATGAAAATGAAAACATATTGAAAGAGAAAAAGATTAGACCCTCTAATTTCATTAGGAAGCCAGATTCCAAGAAGAAACACATTTTTACAACTCTCAAACATAATGCTTATATTTAACTACTAGTTGGTGTAGTGAGATGAGGCATTAGGTCTTTTAAGCAAGGTCAATGATTCGAATTCGATATTTATGAATCGAGAAAACTGGGTTGGGAGGGTCGTCATCTCTTCTACAGTATCCGATTTAGATTAGTCAGTCAATAGATCAGATACCAGTAATTAATTAAAAAAAATAGAGAAAAAAAACCCTAATTAGTTATTTTATATATTAAACAAAAATTAAAAGGGAAAAAGTTTGAGACAACTTGGATTGAATTATTTGTTTTCATTTCACAGCCTCCAACTCTTTCTCCTTTCTCACTTGATTCTTCAACATCCCTGCAACCACATTCCCATTATTAGTTAAACTAAATTCAAACAAATAAATTTTAAATTCAGTTTTCTTTTGTTGATAAATTGTTGATTGAAATCAATAATCCCTACATTTAACATTATATAGTTAAAATAAAAGAGGAACTGATATATTTAGGTAATTGAAAACCAAAAGCTATTTGTATTTGCAAACGATATAACAACAGAAACCCTAGGTTTACCTCTAGGTTTACAGGAAGGAGGTTCTTCAAAGAGGGACAAAGAGAGTTGTTTATGAGCAACACCAATGTCGAACAAGATGAGACCGGAACCAGGGTCATCCACAATGATGTCTTTGACAGGCAACCAAAGGAAGAGCTCTTCCTGTGTTAATCCTACCACACCGATGAGGCTGCCGTAGGTGAGGTTAGCCGTCACGACGCTGTCGAAAAACACCCTGTTCTCGTACTTGGTCAAGCACGGTCCGTCCAAGAAAACCTGTAGGGTTCCATTATCTGAAAGCGTATAGGATCTCACTTCCTTTGGGAGTAGGCCTGCTGGTAAGCCTCTTGAAACGAGGAGATCATGGATTGTTGATTTGGAGTATGAGAATGAGAGAGGGAGAAGGAG